TGTAAAAAGTCCTCTCCCAGCACATTGCGCTTTGCTAATGAGGTAACAGCATCCTGGATGTCCAGAGGTGCTGCCAGCAAACCGGTATCCACCCGCTCACAGGCCAGAGGGATGACTGTCCAGACCTGCACTTGTGTGGGCACTTAACCCACCTTATCCACTCTAAAAAAAAAAAATCATCTACCTCCGCCAGAATCAAATGGTAACGAATCAGAAGAGCTGAAAAGGAACCTTCGACTGAAGACTCTGAATACAGTCTTTTTTTTCCCCACAAGTCTGGGGGGAAAAAAGCTGCATTTCAATTAGCTGAGCACAGGAAGGAACAACGGAGAAAGGGCAGGAGTATCTTCAGGTCCCTCAGCAGTCTATCTGTAAAAAGGCTGGGTTCCCCTCTTCAAAACCATTCAAGCGACAAGATGCAGGATGAAGAGACGGGTGGCATCAGGCCGGCAGAAGCACGAGGAGGCTGTGCTCGCCGCAGAGGGCCCAAGGCCCCAGCAGCGCGAGGTGTGCCAGCACAGTGAGCAACGCCACTGCCGCCAAGGGCCCGGTTGTGCAAGTGCCGCTGGCAGCACAAAACTAACTCCTCACCCACCCAGATCGTTGCTCTGAGAGATTGCTTGGGAAAAAAAGAAAGAAATTATTTTATCCCTTAGAGCTGTGTAACCATATTGCATACTACACATGCGTTTCTGAAGCACTCATCACAACAACAAAAAGGTGCCAGACCAGCGCACTGTAGAGTTCCCTAAGGAATCACCAAGCTCCAAGAGACCTGACTATGCTTAAGGGAAAGCTCTGTTAGAACAAGGCAGTTCAACCACTGCAGCAAGTGTCAAAACTCAAGGCTAAGCTGGGTATTGATGGGAAACCACTGTCCCAAGACTCCATAAATACACACTCTCAGGTGTTCAGTCGTGGCAGGGCTGGCACTACTGTGCCAGTGCTGTGCAGCAGAAAAGAGAGGAAAGAAGAAATACAACTTTTGACAGCAAAATAAAGTATTATATTTCACTTCCACTGGAGTTAATGGCAGAACTTCCTAACCCTACTCAGGTCAGCTGCTCTTATGCAGAACAAGATGAATCACTGAAACAACACCTGAAAAAGCACACAAGTATTACTGATTAAATAGCTTGTATTTAATAGGAAATGTCATTCCTTTTGCACTGTTGGAATTCCAAAAACATTTTAGAAAACAATTATCAGCTGTCACAACAGTCATCAGTACCATTTACATTTACACACACTGAGATCAATCCATCTTAAAAAAATACGTAAGAAATGAAAAGTTCTAGCAAAGTTTAGTCATTCCAGTCTTCAAATGGGCTCCAGCATGAGTCTGCAGATCTCATCAGGAGACTTTAACAGTGGTCTTGTTAGTTGCTCATTAGTTAATAAGACAATACTTGAAAGGTGCTCGTGACACGCTACAACACACTTCCTCTTGGCAAGGTGTATTTTGATACTTAAGTAATGTAGTTAAACGAATTTACAGTTTCCACTGCAACCAGGTCAACCTATTTAATTCCTTACGTTAGGCAGGAGGAAAGATTTATTTCTGCATCAGTTTTAGTTCACACACAGTAAACGCAGCCATGTGCCACAGCTCCTTGTTTGTGAAGTCAAAGGGAAAGACAAAAGTTTTGCTGCCCTGCTTCTGTTCAGGCTTCCGAGTTGCACTGTGGCATGACTGTACTCGGTTGTTTGCAAAACAAGTTGATTTGTGTCCTAGTATTTCCATTGTAGAGAAAATCCCTTCCCTGTATTCTTTGTGTATTAAGTAACAATACAAAAAAATGCTTTTTTCCTAATAAAACATCAAAGGAAAAAGGAAACGTCACCTCTGACAATTTCTATGAACTCACATCTGCCCTAACAGCATCCTGTTCAATGTGGAACATGGTAGATTTTATTTTGTTAATAAAGATTATTAGCCAGGTAGATTTTAGACAACTTTTTTCCTGGCAATTTAATAAAACTCTTCAAATAAGACAGACAAGTATAGGGTTTGTATTTAAAGTGCTCTTTATCTGATGCAACAAATATGTGGCCAGGAGATGACTGAGGATGCGGGAGGGTGAGGGGAGTGGAGCAGAACCAGCTGGTCTAGGCTTAGACCCTAGTGCCAGGCGGTACAGCACTACCAGAGCACAAACCAAACCCGGCCTTTCGGGCTGAAACCCTACCACGCACGCACATCCTTGCCACAATCCGAAGAGAAGGCAGATGTTAGCGCCTGGGATGTGCCATCTCCTGCGGTTAGAACGCAAGCTCGGGGATTAGAAAACTCACTGAAGGAAAAAGCAACAATCAAATGAATGCACGGCGAATGTCCATGGGGCGGCCCCGGCTGGGTCTAGGTGGAAACCTGTCAGTGGGACCCGCTCGCCCTGGGAGCGTGGGGTTTGCTCCAGGCAAGGAGCCAATTGGATCAAAATGCGGTCTGAATGGAGGAAACTGGCCTGGTGCTTCTCCTGGGCCAGGAATAAGTGAGTTAATTGGGTCCCCAACATATGGAAGGGTTGGTCTCTCATCATATTCTCCACCAATGATCATTGGGGGATAGATCGGGTTTGATGGGAATGGGTTGGGAGGAAAGGGATTAGGATAGAAGGGGTTAGGATGAAAGGGGATTGGATGAGGTGTAGGGGGCAAAAACATCATGTGCCTCCACCGCAGGGCCTCTTTCTTCTGTTTCAACTTTTTCTTGTATAGCTGCAGGCAGAAACAAAGGAATTTTAAAGCTCGGCAAGTGCTTCATGTTCCACCTTCAGCAACCGCGTGCAGTTCTGCAGCACAGCTCGGAAATGCCATCCTCACCAGCCTGAAAACCTGCAACAGCAACTCCCCTGCCTGCCAAAGACCAAACCAGCACCTCTGGGAGGCCCCTAACCCACGGTTTGGGCATGCACCTAACAACTGGCAATGCCGTTTTCTCCTACTCTGACCAAACCCAACATGTGTACGCAGAACACTACACTTCCAAACCGAAATTTAACTCCAAGTTACTACCTCCCAAAGTTAATGAGTTCTATTCTCAAATTAGCCTGTGGAGAGAGAAATGATATAAAAAAGCCACCTACTTCTTTCCAGTCTGTGTCACGAGGCCTCGCCATAGGATCTACAGAGAGAAGCAAAAAAGAAGAGCAATCTATCTTGTTTTTAAGTAGCATTCACGCCACAGATGTCCATGATTCTTCTGCAAGTTCTGACAGAACTAAAAGACTGGAAAACACTTTTGGTCAATAAATTTTTCATAAAGATAATGCATCATAAAAAAAGATAAAGCTCCAGGACCCTTCAATAGGTGATCTACTTGCACGCCCACTCTATGTAAAGCATCACCTCTAACAGCTACTGAGGAAGTAGACAAACTGCAGAAACACTGTCCCCATCTCTAGCTTCTGGCAGCATTTCCCTTGGTCACCTTGTTTCTTCAATCTCTTGTGAGAAATTATAGCAGGATGTCTCTTCCCTCCACTTCCTAATGTCTGCAATAGCCAGTACACCAAGGTAGCCAGGGCAACAGATGAGAACAAGAAAAGTCTGTACCACTCAAGGGGAAGAAGAACGGTGTAGTCCGGCAGTAATGGCTCAGCAGATTGTCACCAGTTTTCAGGGTGGAAAACAGCGTATCCACCCAAGTTACACCTGATCAACGATACTGGTTAGCATCACAAATGACTGCATCTGCTCAGTGTTTAAAAACCAGAATTGGCTGCCTGAGGAGCCTCTTACCAAAATCAGACCTAGCCCCTCTGTTCAGATGAGAATGTAATTAGAAAAGCACGTGTCCCCACATTACCTCGGAAATCTCGCAGATACATGAACCTCCACAGAAGCTGGTCGTTGGAAGCCGTGTAAAGATCACGGCAAACAGCGGAGAGGGAGATGAGGGAACGGACATCCAGAAGTCTGAAAATTCGAAGCTTGAGCTCAAGAGGAAGGACCACCAAGCCAAACACATCTGGTAAGTTCAGAGCTACAAAGCGGAGAAAATAGAAGCATTACCTAAGCAGTGAAGAGTTTACTCATCTCTAAAGACCCTAAAAGAAAGGACGGACGTCATAGCCTTTCCCTTAAATCATTTCCCTTTTGTGCCTGCGTTACACCACTCTTCTCGGAAAGTACCGTGACTTCTTATAAAGCAGATCTCTTGTGACTCCAATTACGCCTGCAGAGTGCACAAAATAGGGCAAATGGTACCTTATACTAACCACAATTGGCCACCATAACGCTAAGAAACGTTCCACACACCTAACTGTGTGTGTAGGCTACCGAACAAAGGAATAGGTAAAGAAAAAGAAACCTGCCCAATTTCACGAGCCCACAAAAGCCACATTAAATACAGAGCACATGCTTCGCACAAAACCTTCCCGCACTGAAGCCTAGAGGGAATTCCACTGAATAGTCTTCAGACTACAAAGCTCAGACCTTTTAAGGCAATACCTAGGCAGAGAAAACCTGGCTTCCTACTGTTCCACAAACACCAGCTTCCTCCTGGTCCACAAACACCAGCTTGAGTTACTTCCTATCATTCTTTCCAAGGCCTTAATGACCGGTTGTTGAGAAGATCATTCCTGAGGTTAGACTTCCAAATATGATGCTATGTAAATTTTGCTGCTTTAACAAAGAAACAGATAAAAACTACAGAACTACTGCCACAGAATTCTTGTGGTATGATTTTCTCATCACTAAATGTGGAAGACAGCCACTCCACTTCTGTCTCTTAAGTGAGACTAGAGCAGTCAAAAATTAAAACCAGGCAGATATAATTTTACTAACATTTTCTGAGATAACAAAGACTTATATAATTTATTTAGAATGTACAGATTTTGTTTATTCTTTATATAGCCATCACCGAACAGCTGTTTCTAACAGTTTTCCTCCAAGGCCTTAGATAGACTCTCTTTCCTTCCATCCTCAAAAATGAAGTACCTTCTCTAATATTAAGTATTTCACTCACCTTGTCGGGCAGCAGCCAGAAGAGAGTAAACCAGCTGGTCTTTAAAGAGACGGGATAGTTTCTGAAGATCTTTGTAAACACCTGCAACCTTTTCTGTCAAAGAAGAAAGGCAAAAAGCTTAACTTCAGGAGTTTTTAATGCAAAAAAAAAAATATTTAATAACAGAAGAATTATGGTTTTCTTGTAAACAGAACTGTAATCTGCTTGTAATCTTGATGTGAGCAGCTCTGCAGCTAAGAGTATAACAATCATGCGGTAAGAATTCATCGACAAACTACAGACCAGTTCCATGGTCAGGCTAGGCTTTCCTTTGGCCTTAAAAAGCACCATTAGGAGAAATACTTGTGTTCTGCAGAAACAAACAAACCGACCCTCAATCTGTCAGAGCTTCCTCTGCCAGATTTCAAAGCTCCTGTGTAACATGCACCGATGTTGTAAATGCCTGCAGTACTCATTTTTCTGACAGGAATGTTTTTCCATGCTGTCTTCTGAAGAAACAGGAGCCAGAAGACTCTACTGTTCTATCAGACATTTCAGTGCTCCGTTATTCTGCTTTTGGCTGGACTTGTACATCAGTGACTGGGGCTACCCAGGGGACAGTGTAGGACACTGAGTCAGCCTCGACTGCCAACAAAGCACTTCATACCTACTTCAGAGAACAAAAGGCTACTCCTTACAGGGTTAACCCAATAAATTCAAACTGTTTCAACAGGAAGATGTGAGTAAATGGCTACATTCTCTGAATTCCTTTAACCACAAAGCTATGACTCACCTATATGGTAACCATATTTTTATTCTTTACCTATTTCCTCTACTGAACTATACCCTGACTCACTCTGTGACATCCTTACTTTTCAGTTTACTACTACGAATAGCATAGCTCAATCATACCTGGCTCCTGAAAGCAAATGAAGGATGCTGGCAATAGCTGTATTCTCTTAACACCTTTAATCTCCTTGTTGATTTTTAATGTTGCTGAAAACAGAAGGGGGGAAGGGGGAGAAATTTCAACATTTAAAACACTTTTGAGAGATTACAAAAATCCCTTCATTACTGCCTTACCCTTCAGAGGTGTTTTACTTTCCTCCCTTACCAAATTCCTTTAAGGAAAACGCCTAACTAGAACAAGCAGCTAGAGAAATAAACATTTCAGAAAAACAAAACAGAACTTAAAATAGCAGAGAATAAACTAAGATCTTGGTGACAGAAACCAAGCATTGCCTTCAACAGTTCTGTCCCATGGAAATAGATGTGACACAGCTAAAAGAGGCACACAGCAAGCATTATAGCTCCATCATTGAAGAAATATTAGCTTGAGAAAGACTCAACAAGCTTACTGTATGGACACTACATCTGTGGTAGCTTCAACACTGTTCTAAACCTAACCTCACCCCGATTTGTTAAAACATCGGATCAAAATGTGTACATGTCCCAAGGAAACAGATGTGCTTATACAAATTGGCACGATCGGCTACAAGTTTTACAAATAAATATCAAACATTCTAATCAAAGATATCTTGAAATTAGAATCAAGTCCCAATTTAATATTGGTTCTGCCAAAAAGTGGAAATGCTCAAATGCTAAATAAAATATGAAAAATGAAGGGATCAGGGGGGAAGGGGGAAGACAAATGAAAAAAACTCTCCCAAAACCCACCAAGTTATATGGAAGTTGCTTCAAAAGTAAGTAAATAAATAAAAATCAAAATTCCCAGAATTTCTGGACTAAATGGCTTGAACTAAATACAACTTTTGAGACCACAGTTAAACTCTTAGTGTGCTACAGGAAAGATTATACATTAAAGCTAAAGAATACATAGTCTAGAAGGTTTTTCTTGGGGGGGGTGGGGTTTGGGGTTTTTTTGTAAGTCTTGCAAAGGACATGAGACAAGACAAAAATACTGTAGCTGTAGCAAATCTACCTCTTTCAGTGTTTGGCAAAGTATACCAAAGCAGCTATGAAATGAGACAAGAAACAGATTTCTACAACATTGCAATGAAGAGCCCAGCTGCATCCCCTAAGGACTGAGCTGTTATGATCAGAGGGGCAGAAACGTTAACACTGAGACAGGAAATGCCAGAATATTCAGCATCAGGAAGTAGCATCTCTTGCACCTGAATCAAGGTGCAGTTCTAAACAGGGTGCACAAAAGCACATTTGTGTTTTCTCTGGCTAAACAACGGTGATGTTTAGCAGTGTGCATCCAGGAGAAAAGCTTGACCACCTTACCATTAATAGCAACAAGATCTCCCAAAGGCACACAAGTCAAACCAGCAGAACCTTCTTCACAAAGGGGGTGTGTGTACTGTAGCTTATAAACACCATTCCCTCTCCATTTCTCTGGCATAGACACTGCTTTGGCTTCTGTCCCCTAAAAACACACAGAGATAACACTGCCATACTTTAGCCATGTACCAAGACTAAGGGTTGGGAAAAAAGAGAAGTAGAAGTTAGGAACTGCCAGAATACTTCTTGCAATTCAAATCTTAACTTAGTCCTAACGCGCATGCCAGAACACTGTAATATTTCTTTAAGACGTGTACTTCATTCTGTCATTTATCCCAGCATTCTGATAACTCCTGCAGGTATATTAATTTTCTGCATGAAAAACATGTCACTGCACCTTTTCCGTGAACTTATGAGGTCTGACAGAGCTTGAAGAATCACAGCTTGTAATCCACTCAAAACTCTGAGCAGGCCAGCAGCTTTTCCTTTCAATTTCAGCAAGAAAAGGCTCAGATGGAATCCCAGAGGGGGACACAACATAACCACAAATACAAGTAGACTTTCTCTCTTTCCTCTTAAATCTGCACAGCAATCATCTTCCCTACTTCCAAGCCTACCGACCGAGGCAAACCTTCTTCCCAGTGGCAGATGTACTCTTCAGATAATATTTCAGGCTATAGGAATGCAATTAACTTAGCAGATTCATTAAACTGGTACTGGTCCATTGGACATCTAAACTGACCTGCTACATGTGCTTAGTTAGCCTCACCGCAAGAAAAAAAACATAAGAATTCAAACAACTTCTCCGAGAGCAAATATGTTTTTGCACGTTTAGCCACGTATCAGTAAACATATGATGCAAATCTGAAAATCTAAAGGGAAAAGGTGAATTCATACATTGTGCAGAGGTACTGCCGTAGGTGCTCAGCTACAAGTTAGACAACGCCGTAGGTTAGCGGCACCAAAGCCTAACTGAACTCAGCTGAAGTTAATATGGAACTGGAGACCACATCTTGTCAGACCTAGGCCTCGTTAATGGCCATTTGAGCAGGATACTGATGCTTAAGGCAGTGCTTCAAAGAAGTGCTACAATCTAAGTACATCTACACAAGCTCAAGAGTGTAAAGCAGAAAGAGGAGGTTATCAGCTGGGTCCCAGTAAGGCTGAGGACTGGAAGAAACATGGGAAGAGTACTCTTCTCGCACACCTAAAAGCTGCTGTAGTATTTAGCCTTAAGGCTTACTGGTCAGGCAAATTAGAGAAGCTGATACTTCAACAGCCCCTGCTGCTGACTGACATATTCAGAGCCAGAAGTGGATCTTCAGATGCATCTTGTATCACACATTCCCATGATATTCCACAGCTTTTTCATACAAACCAAGAGATTTCCTGACTGGTTGTGCACCCACCTGAGGTACGTAGCCTGTCTCCATCATGAGAAGATGTACTAGAACAATCAAGGCATCAGTGGCACTGGTACACTCAGCAGAAAGGTAGAGCATCTCTAAGGAATGTGGTATTTCACCATCAGCGGCTTCACTGCACAGCATGGGCTCAGAGGGATAAGAACCTGTACCTTCTTCCAGGTCAACATCTTCCGGCACTAATCCAGAAGTAAATTCTAAGCTGGATCCTGCCTTTAAAGGAAAACAAAACATACCTTCATTCAGAAAGTTACACCTCAATTCATCTGCTTATTCCAGTCCTCAGAGGCACCAAGACTATTCTGCTGATTTCTCAGTTTTTCAGAGTCATTACAATGCCATTTTCTAGCATCCCAGCTGGAGACTGGGATTATACACATAGCCTCTGTATTTTTTGATAATTATAATGCAAGCCCTTCATAGAAGGGTCTGTCATTTGATTGCATATACTACTTGAAGACAAACTGGTAACATATTAAAGCTTCATCAGAATTATCACAACATAGACAGGAATATTTTATTCCCTGTAGTACCACCGTTTACTTAAGTATAGCCAATGGACATGGAAAGTAACCAAAACCTTAACTTGGACTGCTTAGCAACACAAGACTGCTTAGAAACACAACAGGTCTAAACATCGGGGGTTTTTTTTTGGGGGGGGGAATCATCAGTGGAATATATCTGCTGACGCTTGAGGATCACTACAGTTTTATTGTGGCTTCCTTTGTCTACCAAAAAAACCACACAGTGTTGTTATGTAACTGATAGAACTACCCACAGATACATTAAAAAAAAAAATAGTAGTGAATAAAAACCACAAGCAGATTTGCCGAAGAGAAGGGTCAGGAAAGGGAAAAAAAAGACAGACACAGGAGCTTGCATGCCCACAGCACCACGTAAGGGTTATTGCTCCTGGCAACAATCAATGGGACAACGATCCAACTACATTTTCTTTCATTACTGACAATACATTTATCCCAAATTTTAATTTTCATAGGTTAAAACAACAGTTTTGAATGACCCAATATAAAGATTATATTGAGAAACATTTTGTATTTGAAGTTTGTTCCAAAAAAAAAAAAACCACCAAAACAAATCTACTTGCTTTGAATGAACATTGGAAGACAATCTCCTTCCAGCTTCTCAGGCTCCTGCCTAAAACAGACAGGATCGTATAACATGGTAGACTGTGGCATTAGGCTGTGCCTGCAGAGTCTCCTCCAGGAAAATCATTCACCACAGCAGCCAGCACTTGTTGGGAGCTGTCACCAGCTTGACTTATTATATGTACTGTCACACAGGAAATAAACCACTGGGTAATACAAAAAGCATGCTACTAGCTGCATGAAGCATACAGGTGTACATCTGTATGTCCCTACGAAGCATGAGACAGGAATTCTCTCAGCAACACAACCTTGTGCATGAGACAGACGGGTCTCACCTTAGAGCAGACCATCTGAACCACAGGGTACTGCTATAACCCATTAGAGAGGGATCACACACTCACCTCGTGAGTGGTGTTTCCAACAGGCAGTGCCTGTTGCATTTGTTCAGTACTCAGTAATGTAAAGGCCACACAGAAATTTAAGTCAGCTCTGACTGAGCTGCAAGCTGTTTCCTCAAGAAGACAGCACTGAGGTAGGTAAAGCAACACACTCCTAACTTCCTCATGGAAAGTGTATGTTCCAGCAGAAACATTAAATCGTGTAAAAATGTCAGACCTGAAAGTTCTCGTGGTCTCTGAACTAGCTTTTGTGTCACAGCTAATATATAGTGAACAAATTTCCATCCAAATAACTGGCTATAAATCAGCCAAGTATAAGTAGCCAAATATTCTAAAAAGATTCTCTACTAAAGATATAGACCAGTTGGAGCGAGTCCAGAGGAGGCCAGGAAGATGCTCCGAGGGCTGGAGCCCCTCTGCTATGGGGACAGGCTGGGAGAGTTGGGCTTGTTCAGCCTGGAGAAGAGGAGGCTCCAGGGAGACCTTATTGCAGCCTTCCAGTACCTGAAGGGGCTACAAGGAAGCTGGGGGGGACTTTTTACAAGGGCCTGTAGTGACAGGACAAGGGGTAACCGGTTTAAATTGAAAGCAGGGAGGGTTAGATTAGATATGAGGAAGAAATTCTTCCCAGAGAGGGTGATGAGGCACTGGAACAGGTTGCCTAGAGAAGCTGTGGATGCCCCATGCCTGGATGTCTTCAAGGCCAGGCTGGATGAGGCCTTGAGCAACCTGGTCTAGTGGAAGGTGTCCCTGCCCAAGGCAGGGGGGTTGGAACTGCAATCTTTAATGTCCCTTCCAACCCAAACCATTCTGTGATGCTACATAATACAGCAACTGACACAGAGACCTTCATTTTCGTTTTGTGTTGTACAGGACAATTCTCATGTACTTACCCTCTCATCAATCCTTTGGACTTCCACTGGAGCTTTCTGCTTGTCAGATTGCTCATTCTGCCATTCTTTTGGACTGTTGGCCTGACTTCTGTCAGTAATCAAGGTGGATGACTCATGACCATTCTCAAGTCGGGGAGCCGCAGAAGGAGGAAGAGGTAGGTTGGGTTGTCCATCCTCTTCTCCTAGTAATAAGCATATCAAATCACCAGAAACTATCCCATATGAAGCTAAGGTCTTCTGATCTTCTGTGAGAGCATCTTTTCTGTTCAATGTTATTGAAAACTCTGTATCAGAACTACAAAATAGAAAAGAAAAAAGGAAACATGTTCAGCTGCACCTCAGTGACTGCACACAGAGGTATAGTTAGAGATATATACTGCATACTACAACAGCACTATACCATGGGTTTTAATCCATTAATAATTAGCAATATACTAAAGGAAGAGTGGGGGGAAAAAAGACGGTATGAAATTACTTTGCCCTTGCTTCTCTTCAAATATGTTTTAAGTAGCTGTAGCTGCCTGGTAGGTATAATTCCATTTACAGTAATTGCTCATAGAGCAGTTATGAAGGAAAGGAAACCAGTGCCCTCCACATTAGAAGACACCACACCTAGCAAAACAAGCTTTAAATAAGCTACTGGCTAAGATTATTTAAAAACGAGACAGCGTTGCAGACTCAATCATCTTGCTTTTTTGATTAAGAAAAACATTAGTTTATAAAGGTCGGCAGCTGCCCTACAGCATGTTATTTGCAAATGAGGGTAATAAGAAAAGATGCTTCACGGCACGCACTCACCAAAAAACCAACCCAAATAGAAAAGCACGAGATTAGCACGGAAGCAGCTATCCAGTACCAGCCGTACAACACACTCGCTGTGTCAAGACACGCGGTAACTTCAGATTTCTCCCACCCACACCGCTACGCAGCACAGTGCTATCAAACACACCTATCACCAGTGGAACGGCAGAACAACGGGCCTAGTTAAAGGGTTGTGACTACAAGCCCTTTAGCCACCACCAGAAAACGAGCCCCTTCTGCAGGTGTTTCTCAAACTGATTTTGTGAACTTTACTCTCCTGTAAAGGCTGCCATGAGTTTATGAAATTTAAACCCAGAGGCTCTCCGAGAAGCCTGCAAAACTGTAAACCTGACAACCCTGCAGCCACTTGCGTAACGCAAAGGCCACGCAGGAACTTCAGTCGGCTGTGACCGAGCTGCAATCCCTATCCCACGGCTGCACATCTCCCAGAGCGTTATTTCCTCCCCTGTAGCCGACAGCCGGGCAGCGACCCCTGCTAAAGGCTACGGCGGGCCCAGGCCGAAGGAACTCAGCAGCGGCCTCTGCCCAGCCCTACACCAGCTCGCCGCGCCTCGGCCCCGGTCGCTCTACCCCCCCTCCCGCCGC